GTTGATTACTAGTGATAAAAGATTTGCCACATTCACTGCACTTATAAGGCTTTTGTCCAGTGTGAAGTCTCTGGTGATATCGGAGGGCAGAACTACTGGTAAAAGATTTCCCACATTCACGACACTCATAAGGACGTTCTCCAGTGTGAAGTCTCTGGTGAGAACGGAGGGTAGAACTAGCAGTGTAAGATTTCCCACATTCACAGCACTCATAAGGCCTTTGTCCAGTATGAAGTCTCCGGTGAGAAGATAGGGCAGAACTAAAAGTAAAAGATTTCCCACATTCACGGCACTCATAAGGCCTTTCCCCAGTATGAAGTCTCTGGTGAGAACGGAGGGCAGAACGAGCAGTGTAAGATTTCCCACATTCACAGCACTCAAAAGGCCGTTCTCCAGTGTGAACTCTCTGATGATGACGGAGGGCAGAACTAGCAGTAAAATTTTTCCCACATTCATTACACTGATAAGGCCTTTCACCTGAGTGAACCTTTATGTGTACACTGAGGCTCGTTTTTCGGATAAAGGATTTGCCACATTCACTGCACTCATAAGGTCTTTCTCCAGTGTGAACTCTCTGGTGATAACGTAAGATAAAACTACCAGCAAAAGATTTCCCACATTCACCACACACATAAGGCCTTACTCCACTATGAATTGATTGGTGATAACGTAGGGCAGAACTACCAGCAAAAGATTTCTCACATTCATTGCATTTATAAGGCTTTTGACCAGTGTGAACTCTCTGGTGAGAACGGAGGGCAGAACTACTGGTAAAAGATTTCCCACAATCACTGCACTCATACCGTCTTTCCCCTGCATGAGATCTCTGATGATATGAGAGGGCAGACATAGAGGGAAAAGATTTTGGGCAGCCATGACACTTATAAAACCCTTCTCCAGACTCAACCCTATGAGTAATCAACACTGGGCTACAGCTAACAGCTTTTGCACATCCACTGCAAACGTAACTCTTCACTCCACTGTGCCATCCCTGGGGATGAATGAGGACAGATTTGCGGCCTAAGGATTTCCCACATTTGCTGCACGTGTACTGCCTGGATGCACTGTGAGTCTTTCCGTGTTCGTTCAGGGTTGGCGTCTGCTTAAGCGATTTTCCACATTGACCAAGCTCGTATGTTTTTCCAGTGTGGTATCTCTGGTGTATGGCAAATAAAGATTTGTACCTGAATGTTTTCCCACATTCACTGCACACAAAGGACTGTCTTCCAAGGTGGACACCCTGCTCCTGAATATGTGCGTGTTTGGGACCAAAGGCGTTCTTGCATTCTCCCCAGGTGTCATGACTTTTTCTGCTTTGTAAAGTTGCCCTGCGCTGGGTGATCGTGTGTGCCTTCTCCCCAGTATCAGTGGCCTCTTGCTGCAGATGCCCCGAGCCAGACAGGAAGTCCTTCTGAACTTCTCCACAGGTAAAGGGCTTTCCTGAACCATGGAATCCCCAGCTCTTCACAACAGAGGCCCTGTCCACACGGCTTCTGGAGGGTTCTGCTCCCACGTGCTGCTCCTGCTGCTGCTGAAACTTTACACTGAAATAAAATCGTTTCCCACAGGCCCCACACCTCAACAGCTTCTGGCTGTTTTCTTTTCCCTGGTGCGCAGCCAAGTGGAAAATGTCTCTCAGGACTGGACCACACATCTCACAGGGGTGGGTCTTCCGGGAAGACTGAGCTGC